CACCCAAAAAAAAACACAAAAACAAAGACAAGGAATGCACAAAAATGTTAGACATCGAGCAGACGCCTCGACCCTTGCTTGGATCACGCTCCAGGGCACACGCAATGAGTGCAACCTGCAAGTGCCTTGCCAGAGCCTCAACTGGCTGCAAATCCACACTGCCAGGAACTGCAGTTACATCTTTGCCAGCGCGAGGCAACGATGCTTCAAACTCACCAAAGGCCGATAAACACGGCGTCGTCCATGCGATGATCTGCTGCTTGATCTGTGCCTCGCTGCAGTGGCGACCCGCCAAGCGATCTTCTGCCATCCCTAATAGCCAAGCCAAAAGACTGGCGCGACGCTGCTTGGAGGGCAGCTCAGTCTCGAGCAGCGCAGCATCAACTGGCAGACCAGCGCGGTCGGACCGCACGCATGACCAGATCCAACGCCAGCCGCGCTCAGGGAAAGCGTCGTCTGCAAGAACATCACGGCCAGCCGCTGACGCAGCCTACCACAACTGATAGACCGAAACTAAAGAAAACCTTGCCTCAGGCTGAGATTAGCCAACATGATGCTAGGCCTGTGAAATTTGATGATGTTCTAGGACTTCTAAGATGAGCTGGAGCTGCTAGCCCTGTAAAAGATGTCTGTGCGCAATCCCAGAGTAAGGCGACCAGCCTCTTACATTCAGGGAAACACTGTTGACAAAAACATTCTTTCGAGCAAGCCCTCCTCTGTCCGCTACGCGCGCTGAAAGACACGCTCCGGTATCTCAAGGCTTGTCGTGAACAAGTTGCGCATTGAGGGTGCCAAAAGAGCTAAGCAATAAAACCAAACTTGTGGGGTTTACTTGTAGCTGCGAAACCAGGCCTCTGCGTCAGGTCGGGAAGGTACGCAACACCATGGAAATAAACAAGCCATCTACACACAGTTCAATCATCCCCACAATTCGGCGGTATATTTCCAACAGCGACACCATGCCTCTGAGATGGCGGAAGGGCGCAAAGCTGCCACCAAAGCATCAAGCAGCTGACCCTTGGCGAGCTGCTGTCCAGTGGTGGGATCCCTCTGGGGAACATCCAAGCCAGCTGCAAAGGAGCGAAGCTGGCCCCGCGGCATTGAGCTTTCCAGCTCGGACCGCAGCCATTCCTCGCCACGCGCAACTGCTTCAGCCCGTAAATGCTCTGCGTCAGGAAGGCCATCCCCAGAACTCGCAGCAGCTGTGGAAGACGAAGTTGCCTGCGCTCTTACAACATAGTTCTTACACACGCACAAAGAGCAAGGCGACCAGCTTCTTACATTCAGGGAAACACTGTTGACAAAAACATTCTTTCGAGCAATCCTCTGTTCGTGCGAACACTGTTGACAAGAAACAAGCGCTTTGGAAAACCATGCCTCTGCGCTGGAAGGAGGACACAGAGATTCGACCAAGACAGCAAGCAGCTGGCCCTTGGTGCGCTGCTGGCCAGACGTGGGGTCCCTCTGCGAAACGCCTAGGACGGCTCCAAAGGAGCGAAGCCTTGACGACGTCATGGAGCCATCCAGCTCGGCCCGGAGCCAGTCAGAACCTCGTGCTTCTGCTTCGGCTCGCAAGTGCTGTGCATCGGGAAGACCATGCCCAGAACTCGCAGCAGCTGTGGAAGACGAAGTTGCCTGCGCTCTTATCACATAGTTCTTGAACACGCACAAAAGAGTAAGGCGACCAGCTTCTTACATTCAGGGAAACACTGTTGACCAAAGCAATCTTTCGAGCAAGCCCTCCTCTGTCCGCTACGCGCGCTGAAAGACACGCTGCGGTATCTAAAGGCTGGTCGTGAACGAGTTGAGCATTGAGGGTGCCAAAAAGTGCTAAGCAATAAAAATAAACTTGTGGGGTCTACTTGTAACTGCGAAACCATGCCTCTGTGTCAGGTCGCGAACGTAGAGCTGCAACCACGGCTTCAAGCAGCTGGCTCTTGGAAAGCCGACTACCAGATGCGGGATCCTTTTGCTGCACGCCGAGGCCAGCTGCGAAGGCACGAAGCTTGTCCAGCTTCATCGAGCCATCCAGCTCAGCATGGAGCCAGTCTTGACCATGTACTGCTGCTTCAGCCCGTAAATGCTCAGCATCAGGAAGAGCATCCAAGGATTCGCAGCCTGCTGCGCGCGCTGAAAGACACACGGTGGAAACCAACAGCGCAAGCCAAAAGTGGTAATTCCAAGAAACCAAGAGGGGTATGCGAAACAATCGTGCGCTCTCGCATGCCAACGTCCAGCCTGCGCACGTCGCTGGCAACCAGAATCCGACATGGCAACACGACACGTCGGAAATACCCGCCAGCGCCGCGCGACTCTGATATCTTCTGGCCACCCGCTGTGTGTAACTGCTTTGACAAGATTGGTGCGCCAAGGAAACGAATCCGCACTTCGGAAGATGCGATCTGAGCGATGACACCTTCTACAGTACTAACACGGAGGACTGCCTTGAGCATGAATGCACGTGCAAGCAGCAATGACAAGCGACAGCAACCTCATGGAGCACCCCTCCAAAAAATGAAGCATAACACCAACACAAAGAAGCCGTGTCGCCCTAATCAACTGTCGCCGCAAACATTCTCTGGGCAAGCTCCGCTACTGAGACACTCATGACATCCAAGCTTCGGCTACTATTGCTCTTGTCAGCTGCCTATCACTCCAAAATCCAACTGCGCATGTTTATTTTACAAGCCAATTACAAAAGCCAACTGCCCAATCTCACTTCACAAGCCAATGACAACTGCCAACTGCCCAATCTCACTTCACAAGCGAAATGCACTGTCCCAAAACACAAGCCAAATTTTCGAGTGTTACGTCACTATCCTAAAGCGCAAGCTAACTTCTCGGGCGTTTCTTCGGCATCGTAAAGCGCAAGTATTCGTTTTCAGGCGTTACATTGCAAGCCGACTTTTCCTTTTCTACCTTCTCTTCTCGATTCTGAGTTCTTTCTTCTTTTTCCGGCGGAGCTGGGGAGACGCTCTCCGCGCCGAGATAGGTCCGCAAGTGCTTTGTGCAAGTGCTCTGTGCAAGTTGCTCTGCGCAAGTTGCTCTGCGCAAGTTGCTCTGAGCAAGTGCTGCCGGAGCTGTGGGAATGTACTTCGCGTACTATTTTTTTGTACTTAAAAGTTGTGATTTTCCAGCCGGAGCTGCGGGAGTGTGCTCCGCGTACTACGTTTGTACTTAAAAGTTGCGATTTTCCAGCCGGAGCTGCGGGAATGTGCTCCGCGTACTATGTTTGTACTTAAAAGTTGCGATTTTCCAGCCGGAGCTGCGGGAGCACGCTCCGCATACTACGTCTGTACTTAAAAGTTGCGATTTGCCAGCCGGAGCTGCAGGAGCACGCTCCGCGTACTACGTTTGCACTTAAAAGCTGCGATTTTCAAGCCGGAGCTGCCGCGGACCAGGGGGGAATCGAACCCGAGACCGCGGGATTGCGAAAGCAGGCGCGCAAACCACGAGACAACTTCCAAAGGCCGTTTCGCGAGCAAGAAAATCGCACGGCGCCACAGCGAGAGCGCTTCGACACGCACGATCTCCGCAGAGGGTTCATCGGGCTCAAGACAGATGCGCACGGCGCCACAGCGAGAGCGATCCGACACGCACGATCTCCGCAGAGGGCTCGCCGCGACCAAGACAAATTCGCACGGCGCCACAGCGAGAGCGCTTCGACGCGCAGGATCTCCGCAGAGGGTTCGCCAAGGTCAAGACAAATTCGCACGGCGCCACAGCGAGAGCGCTTCGACACGCAGGATCTCCGCAGAGGGTTCGCCAAGGTCAAGACAAATTCGCACGGCGCCACAGCGAGAGCGCTTCGACACGCACGATCTCCGCAGAGGGTTCGCCAAGGTCAAGACAAATTCGCACGGCGCCACAGCGAGAGCGCTTCGACACGCACGATCTCCGCAGAGGGTTCGCCAAGGTCAAGACAAATTCGCACGGCGCCACAGCGAGAGCGCTTCGACACGCACGATCTCCGCAGAGGGTTCGCCGCGCTCAAGACAAATTCGCACGGCGCCACAGCGAGAGCGCTTCGACACGCACGATCTCCGCAGAGGGTTCATCGGGCTCAAGACAAATTCGCACGGCGCCACAGCGAGAGCGCTTCGACACGCACGATCTCCGCAGAGGGGTGCGTTTCGTAAGCTCCCGTCGGGCCTACCCCCGCCATAAAAAGAAGAAGAATTAAGAGTCGAGAAGTGAAGGTAGAACAGAAAAGTTAGCTTGTGTTTTTAGGATAGTGAAGTAACACCCGACAAATTAGCTTGTGCTTTTAGTAGAATGAGATAACAGCCGAAAAGTTGACATGAGAAGTAGGCAGGTGAAGTAACTCTCGACAAGTTGGCATGAGAAGTTAGCAGGTGAAGTAACTCTCGACAAGTTGGCATGAGAAGTTGGCAGGTGAAGTAACTCTCGACAAGTTGGCATGAGAAGTTGGCAGGTGAAGTAACTCTCGACAAGTTGGCATGAGAAGTTGGCAGGTGAAGTTGGCAGCCGCTTTTAGAAGAAGAACCCTTCGCAATGCTTCCGGGAAAAAACAACCCTAGGAAAAGAAATCAGCACATCCCGATCCAAAGGAGGGAACTCGAAGGGAAAAGGAGGATACAGCTTGAATTCGGGGTATTTGGCCCGTTTCGCCCGTTTTGCACAGCCAGAAAACAACAAACATACAGAAAGAAGCCAACAAAACATCAGTCCAGAATAAAACAAACTGGGGGAAACCCACTGACAAGCCAGCAACAACAACAAGAAACAACAACAAAACTGGGCAAACGGAGAACAGCTTGGAACGGAGCCAAACAATAAACAACAGCATGAACCACCAGCAAACAAAGAAAACTACAAGTCACATCAAGCACAACTGGGTGTGTTTTTGTGTTTTTGACTGAGGGCACCCTTTTTCGTGTTGTTGCAGGGAAACCCAAAAAAACACCACCTTTTCTTTGGGGTGTTGTTGGTCCCACCTAACAAAGGACGAGCCCGCGAGCGCTTCCTCTGGCAAGGCGCACCGGGCATCCCAGGCGCTGAAGACCTTTGGAGATCTCCGCAGAGGTCAGGGACTTCCTGAGACGTGAAACAAACTGGCGAGACCGTCTTTTTGGAGGTGCTCTGGGGGACGACACTTTTTTTCTTTATTTACAGGGGCATCATCATTCCAGGCTTTACTCGGTGTTGCAGGAGTTCGTCCATCCAAAGTATGGGGTGGTTCCCCATCTACCCAGAGGAAACGGGGGTTCAAATTCAAATCAACACCACCAAATGAGCTCAAATGGAAGCTTAAAAGAGCAAGCAAACTGGGGTCCCCTGCATTTGTGCTTTTCCTGGGGAAGCAAGCAAAAGAATCCAAACCAATCAAGAGTTGCCTGAGTATTGAGGTGTTGTTGTGAGCCCAACCATGGGCTTCGGGGCGCCCTTTGGGCTCCGAGCGAGCCTAAGAAGGACATGCCCGATGCGATTCGGCTGGCTCTCCTTTTGGCTTCCCGCAGCAACCAAGGGGTTGACACTCAAAGGGGGAATGGTCAACTTGAGCAGTACCAGCAACAGAACCGTGGCCAAGACCCAAGACAATTAGTTGACCATGACACCATAGGCGTGTTTTGCTGAGGGCCCCTTTAAAGGCCGGATCGGAGTACCGAAGCCCATTTTTTGACACCTGCTCAAATGCCGTGGTCTCCCTTCGAACCAACTAAAAGGCTTCACTCAAAGACAAATCTTGGTTGACGTTGGAAGGGGAGCAAAAAAGCATTTTTTAGCAGTTGAGTTGGGGTTTCCCACTAAACCACAACAAGCAAAATTGCGAAATGTTTCCCAACAACCATGAAATGCTCTTGCCCAGCTGTTTACTCATTTCGAGGGGTCTATCTGAGCCAATCTTGGCATTGAAGGAGCGCACCGTCTACCCAAAGCCCTTACTGAACCATCAAGCGAGCGAAATCCGCGCCTATGGTTCGGACTGTTCCAAAAAAGAAGTGCCAGGATTCTCAGTTCATTGAGTTTGGCTCAAAGGGAGCCGCGTTAGTGCGTTAGTGATAAAGCGAAACTAACAGCAAGTGGAAAGCCAAGAGTAGATCCATCTTTCAAAGGACAACTATGGATGTAGCATCCGAAGGAACCAATTCTCAGTCACCCAATTCAGAGCTGTGCACGGCTTTCCCCAACCGAAACGGTTTCCAACGAGACTCGTCTTGTCCACGTCCATGGCGTTGAAGAAACTTTTGGCATTGCTGACCTTCACGCCTGGTAACGATTCAGCTTCCCTCCAATGGGTGGTTTTGGATTGGTGGTTTGGTGCTGAACCATGGCCAAAAACCACATGAATATCAAAAAAACATCAGAATCAGCTGGCACTGTTTAAACCGGCCATGTATCCTTACCCTGGTTTTCCACATCCCTCAGGTTTAAACACCCTCCCTTTGGGTTCCCCTTTCTGGAAACCGACTTGGGGAATAAGTGGCCTTTTGGAAACATAGATGGCCCTGCTAAATGAAATAAACCCCATCTAAACCAGGGCCCTCTATTTTTGAGCAAACCATCCAAAAAGGACACCCCTGCCTGACAGCTTGACGCCTTGCTTCAGCTTGCTGTTGATGGCCACCACCACGGCACGCATCTCCTCCTCCCGAAACTTTGTTCCTTTAGCCACAGTGGGGTGTGGGTCACAAGTCAGTACCCCCATTGGAACCCTGGTAAATGGAAAAACAGGGGAGTCAAATCTGCGGTAACGTTGGTGTTTGAATTTTGACCCATACCCAAGTGGGTCAAAATGGGCTTTTGTTAGGGGTACCCCCAAACTTGGTGGTTTTCCTTTGGGCGGGCCGGTAAGACTACAAAAAACCACGGGGGGGGGGGGGGTGCTCTCAAAAGCAAACAAACGCAGATAGGACTTGGAAACCAGTGGTTGGTTGGTTTTGGCTTCTGAGTACCAAGCAAAGGGGGTCCACCGGATGACCCCATGTAATCTAAAGTCTTTTTTGTTTGGAAAGAAGGACTGGATTTCGAGCAACCCAGGAAAATCAGCCCAACATCCAACCAAGTCACAAAAAATGTCCCCCAACCCTCAATTCCCCGGGTTCTTTCCTTGCTTTTGGCTCCTTGCGTGGATGCTTGGCCAGGGAAGGCGAAGCGGAGGAGGCTGCGGCGGCGGAGGCTGAGTACTTCTTGGGGTCCAAGGCCGCGACAAAGGCGGCCATTTCGATGAGCCCGTCGGCGTTGGGCTCGATAGATGACCTCACGCGGAAAAAAAATAATGAATCCAACCGCAGTGAGACACAGAGAAGATCATCTTTTTGTCTTGGGACTGTTGGGGGAAACCTCTGTGTTCGAGGCGAAACTTGCAAAGCCAACATTCCGGGCTATCCTCAGATCCCCGCCAAAAGCTTAACTTTCAGTGGGTTCGATTGGAGACCTAAACTAAACCCTGAAAGCCCAAAAACCTAAGAGGATGGCTGCTTCGTGGATGTGCAGAATTTCCTCCGCTTCCTTCAAACATCTGCAGGGTGCAAGGCTGAAGGTCGACGCAGGTGTGGAGTACTGACTCACAGAAACCCTCACGGGATCTCACGGGTCAATTGTTGGTGAAAGGTGCCCACATGGGTGGCTCGTCTTGTTTCTTATGGTTGAACCCCTTCAAAAAAATGTGCTTGCCTTTGATTTCCCCTTAAAAGCCAAAAGAAGCTTCTCCAAAAAAAAAGAGAAAATGAGCCACCCACATCAATTGTGTAACAAATATCAACGGCCGAGTGACACCAACTTGGGCACCAGCTCCGCGGCACTCAGATCCAGCTGCTTCAAGTCATCGATGATCTCCTTCGAACGCAAGGCCCCAGCTTCGTCCACGTCGATGGCTTCGAACAGCGTCCGCGCATCCTGGACCGCGAAGTCGTTGACCTGTGCCCAAGGAACAAATATGGGGGAAACACTTGAATCCAGCTGAGAAACCAGGAAGTTTTACAGGCTACAAGAAATCCTGGATTTTATATCCCATTTCGTGAAGACATTCCTGCTGGATTCTGTGCAAACAGGGTTTCCACATCCCCAAACCACTCCTCATGGGAAAATGAGGGCGACTTTTGATTTGGGAGAATCGCACACCCCTTTTTGGGAAGGCTTACGAGGCTTTCCCGAGTCTCTTGTGCGAAACCTATCAAAGAACGCAGAAATTCAGACAGTCACATATTATGTCATATGTGACTCTATTCGTCTATGTAATACTGCTACAAATTATATGAGACATCTGTAGATAATATGAGCGTGTCTCAAAATCGGGGGCCCGAAAAATGCTGGTGTCCCTCTTGGTGTCCCTTCAAGGTACCCTCCGAAAAAGACAGACCTATATATCGATCTACATGAAATAATAACATATCCACTAATACTTGTCATGCAGAGATATCAGTTTGTCCAACAAAAATCCCACCACTTGTCGACAGCACCTCCTTTGAGCCGGACTTGAGAGCAGCATTGATCTCATCCACCAACGCCTTCAGCTCTGCCATAAAGACGGATCATTGCCATCAAGCCATCAGGGCGGGTCCCACACAAAATAAACTCGCTCAGGATCCGGCTCCTCTAAAGCTGTCGTTTCTCTCATTTCTCCACCCCAAATTTGTTCCTTCAAGACATACACCGTAACGTCGCCTGTTTTTGACACCCCCTGAAACGCTAAACGGGTGTGTCTTCACCCCGGCGTGCAAGCTGAAAAGGAAAACAGCACGGAAACCTTAACAGGTCGTTGGTTAGTTAAGTGTCGTAGGAATCAAACGCAAGGCCCGCTCCTCCCGCAAAACAAGTAAATATCAAAAACCGTGACACACTTCTGGAAGAGGTTCGGGTTTGAAGGATTCTGAAAAGCTTTTGAGAGGTAGGGCTGTGCCGTTTTGTGACACGAAGCTGACATTATGCTTCTTGCTCAGTAAAACGATGACGCCCAAAGGAGCTCGAGCCAGTGTTCAACATGCAAACTCAAGTTCAGAGCAAGCTCTAAAAACAAAGCATGAACGTATACCGCGCTCTAAGAAGTTGCATTTGTTTTGTTTCCGAAAGCGGCCGCTCCACCTCCTCACAATCTGTGTCCAGGCCAGTGCAATCACATGGGATGTGTTCCATGGGACTTTGTACATCACATCCATTGCAAGGCCTCTGCACGATCACTTGCCCATCCTGCCACAGGTCGGTCTTGAATGGTGCAATCCGTGCAACAGTTTGATGTTCCATGCGAAACCCCCAAAATATGGGTGTGAATTTGAATTGGGGTGGCATCGTTTAGACATTGTGCAATGCCGCCTGGATCCTATCTTCCATGATGGAGGTCCCTTCAAAGGAAATGGTTGTTGGCCTTAAGGGTTCTCTCCATTTGTAATTTGAGCAGCGCTGAAACAACACATTGACTTGTGGTTATACCAACACGCTTCGAAAGGTCTATATCGATCTTACTAAACCCCCCTGAAGAACAGGTAGTAGAACCTATACACAAATTGAAGGGACAGGGAATTTGGGCACTGAGCGTTTTGCAAAATGGTTCCAGGCGGCCTTAAATGGGATACATGAGCCTTAGGAGCAAGCGATCGGTTTCTCCGATAAAAGTTTGATGCCGTGCCTGACCACCCGCGCGATGTTGGTAATGCGATCGCGCATCGCTTGGTCGATGGGAGGCCCCTTGCCGCGCTCGTGCATCTCCAGGTGCCTCGACGTGTGGAAAAGGGGTCTCAACATGCTAAACACACGCCTTTTTCGGGTGGTCTTGCAAGTCAAAAAAGGAACAAGCCCGTGTTGGGGGCCCTTCGAGAAGCACCCACAACTCCCCGCCGCAGGTACTGAGGCTTTTCCCTGGACCAGCAATCCCAGGGCGTCAGTCAGGTGCAACCGGCATGCAGGATACTACTAAGAAGGACAGCGCAGAAGTGAGTGCTATCTCAAAATCGGAGTCCGTTGGAGTGTTGAACGAATCTCTGCAAGTCGCTTGATGATCTGGGCCGCGCGGTACCAGCCGATTCCGGTGTTTCCTCGGACGTCCATGGTATCAATCTGAGTGAGTTCCGCCCACTGCTACTTTATGGGGAAACCGGGCATCCTATATGGTCACTGGGTAGCTATCCCATTAATGTTCTGGGACCCGGCTGCTCCAACGCTAAGGCTTCTGCGTTTCAGCTCCATACGAAGCTGCTTCTTAGGATCCAGAATCATGCCCTTTTCCTGCGAAGTGACATCTCAGCGGGGCCATTTTCCAGTCATTGATCCTTTTGCCCGAGCCAAATAGAACTCTGACCTCATGTTTCCCCTCCAATTCGTGTCAGTTTGACCGGAACCTAAGAAACCACGCAAGGAAACTAAGAGCACAAATCTAACATACCAAGAATGCCAAGAAAACCAAGAGCACCAGCTCAAGCAGTCTCCTCTTGAGCGCGTCGAGCTCGCTCGGCGGCTTTCCTCGCTGCTTTCTTGGATTCCTCGAGCCGTACGTCAATGAACCCCGTTGTGTTCCCTCGCAATCAAAACACTGGAGTCTGTCTTTTTTTAGGCTTTGCACCCCCAAAATGCTGGTTGTCCTTTTGGTTTTCCTCTAATTAAGAGCCACTAAAAAGAGGGTCCCGTCAAAAAGGAAACACCCAGTGGAGGCTGACATGCTCACCGGAGACTCACTGTCCCAATCCTCCTGACACGAATCATCCATGGAGCACGAAGCGTACTGAGTTGGAGGTCTTCCATTTTGGGAATCGGTTGAACCCTAGGAGCCCTTCAATCTTGGGTGCCCTCCAAAAGACCCGACATATCCGCCAGCTGGCAGCAGCAGCACCCGACTCCGCGAGCCGAGGCCGGCGCCCGATACGCGGAGCTTCTCTTCACTCCGTAGGGCACCATGGGATACCTCGATCCGGGTCCCGGACGCATCGGCACAGACCAAACCGATTGGACGGTGAAACGATTCCGATTCCATCCGCCGGGTTCCGCCAGAAAGGTGAAATGAACATGTCGTTCCGATTCCTAAGGGAAGCCAACTTGGATGAAACTCGGGCGCTTTGATAGCTATCTTAAACCCGGCCAATGTTTTCATGGCCTGGGAATCGCAGAGGTGTGTCAAAGGCGGGTCTGTCTCAAACCGTCTCAAACATAGGTGGGAACCCTCATGCTAAAGAAACCCGCTGGAAAGATCCTTGAAAACCGAACGCCTGTTTGGATGAGGGAAAGACCCAACCACCAGCGAAATGACCGAACAAAAAACACCAACACAGTTGTTGAAGTTCAGTTCGAAGGGAAAGGGAAACCATCAGAGACCGAAAGGGGATGACACTAAACATATTGAAACCTCATCGGCTTCCGGTCCGCCTAGGCCCCGCACGGCGCAAAGCTGCTCTTCACCACGGGCGCTTCCCCCCGCTTGAACACGCCGAAGCTCCTCCAGGCCTCAGTCACCGCCCAGTGGAGATTGGGGCTCAACAGCTCTCCACCTTGTCCTGAACTTGATCATCCCTGGCTCTCCACTTTATCGTCAGTTGGCTCCCGGATGTCTTTTGTCAGAAAGCAAACATCGCATTTTGTTTGTCCGTGAAACGAATGCCCGGCCTGCATCCACGGTGCCCCGATACCAGCGGACAGCACCTGCTGGAAGGCGTGCGCACAACAGCGCCGCTTGCATTGCCGGGATTCCCCGGTTTTGTTTTCGCACAGGCGAAACACGAGCAACGTGGCTGCAAAATGTAAAAGAACATATCCTTGGCGCAAATCTGGTTGGTAACGCACAACCGGCCATGGGAAAAGGGGGGATCTAAATCACAGGGAGCCCCAACCATCAGCAAAATCGCTGGTCAAGCATCAAGACAGAAGCCATGGCCATCTCCCTCCACGCAAAGCAAGCAAGCCTCCGCGCTGTTCAGCTCCTCCCCTGGGTTCCCCCCCATTTGGGATCATGGCCAAAAAATAGCTGAAACATGCTGAAACTCAGGCAAATGGTCAGAAATGAAGCCCAAACTTCCGCCCTGGCGAAAAACGGGGATATACCCTTTATATACTGGCTACTGACCGTATATCCCATCAAACCCCCAGCTTCGGTTTGGGGTTGGACACCTCAGGATCTGGGCGCTTTCTTCTGGCGGGACACCCGGGAACACTGGGCTAAATCGAACCCAAGCATAAGCTCTTAAAGCCTGGGGAAAATCTCAGCTTTAGCCCAAGCGTAAGAAAGCACTTAGCCTGGGCATTTCGCCCAATGTTTCACTCTTATGGAGGGACACTCAGCTTGCCCCAAATCGAACCGCCGGGGTTTCGAAGGCACCTCTCCGCCCAGCGCCATGCCGGGCTGCGCGCCGAAGCGGCGCAGCCAGGCCATGGCGGCGAGATGCGAAAGGCACGAGGGGTCCGTGGAAGCAAAGGGTTCCATATACATATATACATATATACATATATACAGATATACAGATATACATATATACATATACATAAATATTTATACAAATATTAGTGTATAGTATATATATATATATACATATACTAGTGTATATATATATATACATATACATTTATACGTCTATACTATGTATGTACATGGGTGAATATGTGTGCATGTGTGCTATAAATGTGTATTTATATGTGTTGTATATGGGTATGACAATGTGTACTCTAGGTGTGTACGTTTATATTGCTGCGTGAAGTATGTTCTTTACGTGATATGAGATTGATGCACAAGATTGTGCGAGGTCAATGATTGTATAAAGGAAGGATATGCTGGTGCATTGGTTGTTCCGCTACAAGTCTGATATAGTGTATGTGTGCACATATATATATATATATACATATATATGTATATGTTTGTGCATAACCATGCCACAAATTGGGAACTGTTGATGGCTTTGAAAGCTTGCCTAGAACTGTCCACAAGTCACTCTGCGCTGCCTGTGTGGCAGCAAGCTGAGCTGGAGCCACCAAACATTGAGCGGAAACTCTCAAACTCACCTCAAACATGAGGCATCACTCGGGGTACCCACCGGTACGACGTGGATTTTAACGCATGAATTCGATGGGGGGGTATCCTTTTTTTGGGGTGGGGGCGGGTGGGGACGGCGGGCAGTCTGAGGTATCCAGTTTTTGCGGGATTGTTTGAGGGTCCGCAACATCAAGGCTGTGAACTGGTGAGCTGCCAGCTTCTGACTCGCCGCATGCAGTCCGTCCAGTGAGAGCCGGCAAAACAACCCAGAGATTGCCTCTGCCGAGCTGAGTCCCCATCAACACCCGATGGGGTCTACCCAAAACCTATGGAAAACAATCACATCAGGGGTCACTGGGCTTCCCCTTCAACACCCGCTCGCAATTGACTGGGGGATTCCCTTGAAAACGCTCGCCACTTTCGGAGGTTCCGGAGAAAGAAAAAAGATTTAACAAAAAAGGAAATGGCTCGGAACCCCTGCGCAAGGCCGGATGTCCGCACATATGGTTGGGATGTGGGATGACCCAGAAAGACCTTCTACCCGAATCGGCTTTGATGGCCCAGCTCACTGTGTACACTTCGGCCTTGTTGGGCCCTGGTGAAACCTTTAGAATTCTGGGTGAGACGTAGGCCCCCAGTGGATGTAGCAAGCAATCAAAATAAGAAAAGAAAACATGTGTCATTGAGTTCCCACAGGGGCACACATATCCAAATGATCTGGTGTCTTTGGTCATCAAGTCTCCTCAAACCTCAGCGGAAGGCAAAAGCTGAATCTAGACAAACACATGTGAGCATTGATCAAAACCGATTGACTGTTGGTTCTACCCAACATGGATAGGATTGCTATAATAGTAGAACCACTTACTGAAATGGCCCTTTTGGGGTTTTGGGCGTTACTCATGTGCCATAGTCAAAACCCGTGGTTCTCTTAAGAGGAACCTTTGGTTGTCTAACCCCCCCCCACTAAAAGGCTGCTGATCATCCTTACCAACCCGCAAGGAGAGTGCTGTCATGAGACCATGGCATGCAAATGACCTCTGGCTTCATCTGAGGCACACTTTGTTGCACATGTCGTTCACTCTTTGCAAGCGGTCCTGGCAGGCAATCTGCGATGCTTTTGCCAAGTCAGAGGCTGAATGCATGGAAAGAGGTTGCCTGTTTTTCTTACAAAGCACCAAATTCAGGCATGGTCCTGGTTCCATCAATAGCAATCCTTATGACTGTTTTTTCAGATTCCCTCCGAAGGGGTCCATGACCATCCAAGTACATAAGCCCAAGCCAAAGGGAGCTTTGAACGTGGTAGACATATGTGCCTATGCAATCAGCCGTTACTCAACTGACGTCTGCCGCCTGAACAGTCGCGCTGTCATCTCTGATGGAGTCAGCCTGGCAAGTCAAGTCAAACATCGACGTATCAATCTACCAAAATCATCCCTCCCAATTCAGCAGGTGTGCAGCGATTCTTTCGCAACGCCGCCCTGCTCGCAGCATTCGCATCGTGTGAGACGTCCAGACTGATCACACTTCCAGCACCTGGCGTGCAGTTCAACAGACATCAGATGTTTCTCTGTTCCTCGTTGTTTTTTGCTTCTGGTTGCAAGGGCCAAATTGAAGGGTCGTTCTCAGCCTGGAAGAAAGAGAGACGAACGATTGGGGATCCCGTTGAAATAAAAAACGGATCAATAATTTAACCCCGAAAGCGTTCCGGAACTCTCGCACGCCGCACGCCTGCATCTTGCCCTGCAAACCGTCGAGGATCAGCGTGTTGCCTCGAGGTGTCCACCCAACATGGTGAAGAATCAACCAGCACCACCACCCCCCCACGAAAAACAAAAAAACAAAAAACAGTTGCTTGTTCAGCAACACGTGGGAAAAGGCAGACGACTGGGAAAGAGCGACTGCTTTTCTTGGTTGGGACATGTTGGGACTGTCCCCTGGCCTTACTTGCCCAGGTCTTGATCCCACAATTCCAACCCATGCTGGTTTGGTCTCCTTCACCCACGCAAAGGACATCGTGCCTTTTCAGGGGTAATTACCGCCGTGTTGGTGGTTTGTAAAGGGAAACCAAGGGGCAAACCACCCTTAGCCGGCGGCCACCCATCTACTTTCTCCCTGGAAACTGCACATCGGCGATGCTGTGGGTCCGACAAAGCGGGGAGTATTGCTTGGTGACCAGCTTCACCACCTGCCACAGGAATACCCGGACTTGGTACCGATGTTTTGTGGCTTGGTTTAAAGGGAAACGAAAGGGGAAACCCACACAGCGCCATTCTTTGGATCCCTCAAGAAGGGCACGCCCACATGATGGTTGCGCTTCCCGCCGAGGGAATATCTACTCGACCCCATTGTACACACCACACACACCGTGATACGTGCGCGAAATCCAAGCTTTTCTCGTCTCTAACCTTTAAAACGACCTCTGCGACCTCGGGGTTTGTCATTTTGTGGGTCACACACGACACAAAGCGTTTTAGGATCACAAGGCGTGTGCCCATTGGCTGGCTTCTTTCTTTTTTTCTCCGGATGTGGTACTTTTTTGGGTGGCTTTTGAAGGGAAACCACACAAAGACCGAAAAACACGCCTGGAGTAAGACATGCCACTTGTTGTGTCAATCTGAAGGAAACCATAGGGTTCAACCCTATTGAAACAATGGGGCGTTTAGATGCAATATGATGTAATAACTCAACAGTGAAGAACAAATTTGTAATACGATGTCATGGTGCAGCTTGTTGTACTCATGATGTACAACAACAATTGTTGGGTATTGGACATACACATAGTCTAATGATAATATACTAGAACAATCGTGTTGTTTCATGGGTGCAATGTGTTGAATCAACATAATCATAACAATGGTCATGGCCCATCCATTGGTTTCATGGTGGTTTCAACCCCAGCAGGGAAACAAACATAGCCCGTGTTGAGTTCCTCATGACATGTAGGGACAAAACCAAAAACATGTCAACGTCGGATTCATCTGGAATACTAAACAAAGACACTCCCAGTAGCATGAAACTCGCCACTAAAAGTAGTATGATCCTGCGGATGAATCCAAAGTTCGATCGTCGCCATTTTCCGATTCCCCGAATCTTTCCGCTGGAAAACGCTCCCCAAACCCCGGGCTTGAAAATGATGGTGAAACGGGCAATGACTTTTGCTTCTGACCACTTCACCAAACCACAAAGTTCAACCCCATGCAATATGCGGATGACATGTTGGTGGAGCGTCACATCTTGCTTCCATTGTTTGAAACATCCAACATCCCCTTGGCTTCCTCTTAACTGGGCTGTCCTCAGCTCTGCTAACTTGTGGGATAAAAGCAAAACCCGCCACACCAACGAAAAAAAAACTGAACACCTAGAGGGGTCACTGGACTGGATCTCTTAAGTTGATCAATCGGCCCATGCTTTCGAGCGCCGCTTTCGGGTCAACGAAAGCGCATGGCTCGAAGCCCCGGCCGAGCGAAGAAGGCGCCTCCTGCGAGGCGATGCCACCGAGCACAGAGGAGGTGGTGTGCAGCTCGCAGCCGCCATAGCGGACCACCTGAAACAGGGCGGCGGTGGCTCCGATTTTCGGGGGGGAGTTGGTACCTGAAGCCTTTGTTGGGAGGGTGCTTTACAGGGAAGCCGCAAGGAACGCCATTTGTGGGAGGGTGTTCAAGGGGAACCAAAAGAACTACGCTAAGCCATGTTGGGCCTTTTCTTGGGGGTGGTCAAAGAGCAAAGGAAGACCGGTTGGCCATTTTGGGGGGGTCCGATTCCTTCACCCACAATTCCTTCAAAGGGGATGATCTTCACCAACATTTGGATTTGGCCGTCTACTTGGACTGCTTCAATACAGCTGTAGCCAGGAACATAGTCTCTAGAAGTTAGTTTCTGTGTCGGTTGCATGATTCCAGCAGAAGGATACGTTGAGGCCTGGCTAAGGAGATGTCGTGTCCTTCTGGCCGAATTTATCAAACTTACACGTTTTCACGGAAACAGAGCCCAGCAGTAGTAGTGATAGCAGTAGCAGCAGTTGGTGACTTTGAAAAAAGAAAGCGGAAGCCAGAAGGTGGGCGGTTGAGTTGTTGGGCTGTTCGGCTGCTGAGCTGCTGAGCTGCTGAGCTGTTGGGAAAGCGTGTTGTTGCTGTGTTGCATTTGGCTGTTGGCTGTTGGGCTGGACCCTGTTACCCGGCACCTCCTCAACCGTCTTCTGGTCAGCCGTGGTCACCTCGCGCGCCGCGCGCCGCGCATCGCGACCCGCGAGCTGTGCCTTTCTTCGGCCACCCCCCCAAAAAAGGAAGAAGAAAAAAACGCGAAGAAGCGGATGTCCTCGTGGTTTGCGGAAAAAACAAAGAGGATACCCTCAAAAAAAAGGACGCGCCCAGGTTGCATCCATGATAAGAGGACCAACCCCTAGTTTCCCGCTTACAACCACCCGCATAACCTACTTACACTTACTAGCAGAATTGAAATCGGCACAAGCAACGGGGCTCTTTGAACGCAACGGCTTCCTTGTCCACAGCGATCCCGCCAGACCTTTTGAGAACTGGCGTGCTCTTACCCTAATTAAAGCAGATGGTTGCTGGTCGCGGGCATGGGAAACTGCCGTGTACCAAAGTCAGAAGGTGAGTCAAAAGCCCGGAAAAGGAGTCGACCCATGCAAAGAATCAAATCGGCGGATACTGCACCTATTTCTGGCAAGACTTTTCTTACCATAGCCCTCGTCTACCCCAATCGGCGTTGATGCTCAGGTGAGTTGATCGAACTGCTCGCTTCTGTGGACGCGCCGAGCCTAAACTTCCCCGTCGACAGAGCCGCAAGGCCCGCCTTGTAGCTCATCAGCACTTTCGCCGCAAGGCCTACAACAGGACTTGAAGACTTCGGCCTGGTTGGTTTCATCTTTTCATCGAAACTCTTCACCATGTCTGGCCTAGAATTCATAGGCAGAGCCTTCGGTGAGAGGTGAATGGCCTTCCAGTTTTTGGGACTCCAGACGGCTCGCGCGATTCCTTCTCTCACCCGATTCCCTTCAGAAGGGGCAACAAGGGAAAAAGATGAAACGGGAAGCCTTTTCTCTGGCCAAAGGCGAGCAAATGATCATGATTCACACAATAGAAAGGAATCCCCAAGCAAACAACCCCTTCATAGGGTAGATCGCTCCTCTTACCAAGAATAGATAGAGCTCGCAAAAAGGGAAAAAGGGGAAAATAATCAATCACAAACAAACACAATTCCACGTATATATATATATATGTATACCAATGCCATGCACATATGGCAATGTTCTGTGGTCTTTGATCATACCTGTTTCGCCTTGGTTCCAGTCAAAATTGAACAACAACCACCAACACCTCTAGGATTCCCCTGGCCATTGGGACAAATGGCTGTTCCAAAAACCCGAATTCCAAACTGGCTTGCCCTGGGTGGAAACATGGACCAAACCCTGCGGTTTGCCCCTGTCTAATTTTGAGCCACAACCAAATGCCATACAATGTTGTGTGGTCTTTGACCCCATGTGAATTTCGCCTTAACTCAATGAACCATGGCCACACACATGTGGCTGTGGTGGTCAAAACCAATGGGATCCCATTTTGGTTAGTAGGTGAATTCACCACCCATTTTAGAACCTATTTTAGTGGGAATTGGGATGTTCACTGGGGGTACGGGATTTTGACCCATGGCAATATGGGACAAATGTTCGCCTGAAAGAGTCGCCACGTCCAGCGCCATGTCCTTCTCCCCATCACCGCCTCAGATGTCGCAAGGCTGGCGTCGAGGACCACAACGGGGAGTCGCTGAAAACGGCTGCCCGGTGGGTTTCCCCCTAAAACCCACCCCACAAAGGGTACCAACGCCAAAAAGACGAGCCCACCCAGATGGGGGATTCGCAAAATGAGGGAAAAGCCACTCAACTTTGGGTATCCAAAGGACACACAAAAGTTGAATCCATATTGGGGCAGCGGTTTTTGAGAAACCGACAGAAGACTCAGCTCGACATCGGCACTCTGAAAGGGACGCTAAGAAAAGCCACAGAACAATGAGACGATTTCTCAGGTTTGGCAAAGTTTCAGAAGAGTCCACCCGATCTGCTCAACTGGGATCGATTTCGGATACAGGCGCGGCCTTTTTGCTCTGACGTAAGGCTGGGAAACATCAGTGATGCACCATTGACGGTGCTGGCTGAATGGCTGAACAGCTAGCCTGAACCGACTGCATAAAAAGTATGGGAAAGAGCCCCTCTGAACGCGTGGATATGCAGGTGTTACGCTGCATGCCACACCAGTTGCAGGCTTATATGGCGTCCATGTTGCCGAAATCTGATTTGTGAGCCGACCGACGTGCTTCCTGTGCCGCAGGCAGGGTTTCTCACCTGCCCGGGAATCTGGTGCTCACGTGGCATGCCTTAACCAGGCTCGGACACCGAGGACTCGGAAACGCTGGGAGCAAAGCCCGAGAAACTTTGCTGAGGTCTTTTCACCCGAGGATGTAATTTCCTTGGAGCCAACCCGCGAAGTAGGCCATCGAACAGGAAATCGCCCGAGCTTCTGAAGCTTTTGCACCTACTTCACTGGGTTGGACTGCCAAGTAGTCTTGCCACCAGCCGGGCTGGCCAGAAATAAATCTGGGAAAAAATCGGATCGCGCCGCGCTCCTGGCAAAAAGAGCCGTAAAGAAGCAGTCAATAGTCAAAGGCCGAGGAAAATGGATTCGGCGCCGCACCGGCAAAGGACCTGCCGTTATGTTTCGGCAAGGGCGTTCACCAAATAGAATGACTTCCACTAAAAAAAATCTGACCCAAATGTGCTGATCTGATCTCATCTCTAGTTGTGCTGGTGCTATGCGCCTCTGGACATCGTCTGTGCTAAAGCTATGAGACCGCTGGAGACCCACGGGACGTTTCAGTTTGGCCGCTCGACTCCGGGGATCATAGCCCGCACTTTGCCGTTCGGCAATGTCAAGCTTGAGAAATAGAGGTGCGATGTATTGATGGCTTACCATCGGCACTACAGTAGTGCTCATTCAAAAAGCTTCACTTTCCAGAGCCCGAAGATTATAAAAGGCCTGGCGCACTGCATCAATTTGTCCCCAACCCCAATTGTCATGTGCAAAAACAAGGCACGCATTCTAATTTAAAACAATGGTCGGGTCAATATAACAACCATTGTATACCGTTCAGGCGTTTCATCACCTGAATTGGGTCAGCCACTAGGTGGTGGAACCCTAAGCCCTTCCAAATGAACTGACAAACAAATTGCCACCCTCCGAAGAAACAAACAGGTTTTCCCTTGAAAAAACAAACAATCCCCCATGGTGTTTCAAACAAATGAGGGTGGGGTGTCGCTCCGCGTCGAGAGCGAAGTGCCAGAAGCCTCCAGGAAACTCAACTCAACGGGGTCTTGGCCCCGTCTCCTGGCACACGGCAAGCCCTTGGCCACAAATGTTGGAAAAAGATGTGCTTCCCTGGTAGATACCAGACAACCAAACTTAGCCAGGGGAATACATTCATGTATTTTTGAGCGCACCCACCGACCAAAAGGGGTCTCCCCCTCAAAGTGTTGGTTGGCTTTGCCTTTGGGGGGTGGTGTGCTTTCTATTCTTAAGCACACAAACCGCTCAAAAGGACACAGTCTAAACAGCCCTCTAATTGTTTGTCTTGACCTTACAGCATTGTAGAGCTTCTGAGGCCTGACAATGCTGCAAGGTCCCCAAAAAGTCAATCCTCGAAGGCCAAAGGCTCTAAGGTGCCCCCCCCCAAAAAAAAAGAGAGCAAACCTGTTTGATCTTGGAGCTCCGAGGTTGAAAAATATCTTCGTGCTCTTGACAACTTGCAGCATCTCAGCCCTTCCGGGTCGCAAGATGCCGTAAGAGATGTGAAAAACCGATCCTCGGAAGCCAAAGTGCTCCAAGGTTCGGGACCTTACAGCACTTTCGGACATCCGGGAGAAAAAGAAGAAAAAACAACTGCTAGCGCCTCAGAGGATTGCTTCTTGAGCCTTACAGCATTTTGAGGCCTGGAACAAACTTCGAAAGACATCAACAAACCTGGGGACAAGACACATGTTTGCAATAGGACGTACAGGTAGATCATGGGGGGTTCCAAGTAGGAACATCCGCCCGGGCTGGATCTGAAGACGAACTGGATTTGGCTTTGGGTTTGCTTCAATGAGACCCCTTTTCAGATGGCACCAAACAAGTTGAGCCTTGAGATTCCTCCGAGTTTGTGCGGTCGTCAAATGAAAAACCCAAGCCCTCTTTCAGGTCCCCTTTGCTTCGAGTCTGGTGGTTCTCCCTAGGTTTGCAGGTCCCCCCTTTTCTCAGCTTGTGGTTGGCAAAAACCCGGGAGCCAACAACCAAAGCCCGGTCGAAAGCGTTTGCTTTACCTAGGTGTCCTTTTGCTTGATGGGTGAAACTGGGGTGTGGACGTGCGCATGAGCTCTCCTCAGTCCAGACGGTGCCCGCAATCCGTGCAGAACTTGGCCACCGACCTCAAAGCTCTCTGAAGAAGGCACCGAAACAAACAAGTTGGCTCCCATGAATATGGGTCTGTCTTTCAGGGGCTACCTCTTTTGGTGGGTTTAACGGAAAACCAAAAGAAAAAGGGCGGATTCCAAGACAGAGACGAGCCACCTGCAGGATTCCCACCGCACCAGGGACCCAATTTAGATGATGAAACCTTGAGGGGTAAACAATGCTTGTGTGAACCCATTGTTTTCATGGCCAGAAAAAGACATGAATGAGTTGTCCCTGGCTGCATTCCCGCGGATCTTTTTTGCAAACACATACTTCATTGGCATGGGGTCCAATGTGCCTCACTAGGCTATTGCATATGGTGCCCGAACCGCGTTCGGGGAACCCCACAGAGAACAAGGTGATAGCCCGTTGCCGTAAAACCTGAAGAGTCCCTCCTTTTCCCCCCGGCCCCCGACCCGGCATGCGCGCCGTTTGATGGGGACGCGGGACCCAGGACCGGAACCCTCGCTGATGGCTGATTCTTGGCTTCCTTTCCATCGGAGTACATTCGAGGAGCTTATGGAGCTGAAAACATGTACGGATTGCCTCATTTTCTTCAAGCATCGGAAAAAGGAGTAGGGGACCCCATAGCTGAGTTTGCTGAGGTTGAACATGGTTGAACTAAATACGCCGTTACGCGGGTATGCCGGCATGTCTGAGAGACCCTCCTCCAACTTCACTGATCCCCGGCCCCTATTTCCAAAAGCGGGCAACTCACATGGAACCCACGAAAAGAGGGACCTCAAAAAAACTTCAGGTCCCCCTTTCAACAGTTTGGCTACCCCGCTGCTATTGTCACGGAAGGAACCTACTTCGGGTTCTGCCCCTATGAAGATTTATGTAGCCCTGACCGTAACCCTTCAGTCGAACCACCTACATGACCAAAAGGAATCGGTTTGGGGAACTCGAAAGACTTCGGGCCAGGCTATGTCCGTGTTTGGGGAGGATACCCTCTTTCCCCTTTCCGAGAGGATCCAAAAGGAAGGCACTGTTTGGAGCTCAAAGCGAGTTCAAATCAAAACCTGTAAGAATCTCTACCCAAATCCATGTAAGGAAACTAACAGGCCGCTACTGTTTCTGGCTGGGATTCTCGCTTGCTAACCTTCACCTACCCGTTTTTGATGGCTCAAATCCTTCGGACACATCGGCAAGGCTTGCTTTCGGCCTGCGCCCCGTGGTAACAGTTTTCGCCAAGCCACGTGCGCAGGCGTCCTCCGCAGGCAGTGCAGAACTGACGGGCGCGGGCCTCGACGGAGATGGAAATGACTGAAAACATCTTGCCTGAAAACCCTCTTTATGCTATCAAAACGCCATGCGTTTGTTGTTGCCCCCACTACACATGAACAGCAGCAAAACCAAAAAGGAGCCCAAAAACCTGCCACCAGTGAAGTGGTGTGCAATCATCACTATTTGGGCTGTGAGGCGAGCTTCCTTAGGGCACTACTTTTGCAGTAGGCCCCTTGAAGCGAGGGGGGTTCCCCAAAACAAGATACCACAAATTCAGGCTTGGAGCTTCCAACTTGGGCCCGGCACCTCCTTTATTTATCTTTGGATACTGATGAGCAAGAAATAACGGCCACCTGTGGGGGGCAAAACTGGGCGTGTCTTCCGTTAACCCCCATGTTGGTTGGTTTCAAATAAAGACCAAAACACCCGGCAAACTTGGGAGTATTTTTAAAACACCCCCGAATGTGTAAAATGGACTAGCCCCAAGTCCACGGGCCTTTTCACCGTTCAACCAGCAACTCCCAGATTGTCTTGCAAGCGACTGGGGCTGGTTGGACTCGAGCTGGGGGGTGTCGAGCTGAGGCGTCCTCCTCGCGTGTTCGCGAGAAGCCAACTGACATTCTCAAAATTTGAATGGTTGAGAACATATTATGGCTGTGGCTCAAAAAACCGGTGCCAAAATGGAACCCTGGTAAGTGGAAACGTGGACCAAAACCTGCGTAACCCCTTCTGTTTGATTTTACGCCACACCCATATATGGGTGATGTTCCTTTTGGTTTCCCTTTAAAATCACCAAACGAGGTGTAACCTAAACAAAGACACCTCCAAAGAGGGCTCACCCCTAAAGACCTCGTTTTGGGTTCCCAGGGAAAGACTTGCCTTCTTTGGAGGGAGTGAACTAAGTATGACCTATTTAACTGAAAATGGTTTTCAGTCGCTCCATCAGGTGGCATCCCGGACATGAGGCGCTGGGAGTGGGAGGAGATAGTCTGGAAGGGCCAAATGGGTGGAAC